AGATCATACCACCTTGGAACAGGTCTCCAGAAGTATTTCTGAAAACAGCTGCACAAAACCCCTGAAACTTGGGACAGTGCTCCCTCCACCCTAGAAGCAGAGCCCTATGTAAACAAACAGTTAAAAGTCAAGTAATAGGCTAGGAAAATAAGCAAATAATAGGAAAAAACTCTTACTGTAAAAAGTTATTATGGTGACAAGGAAGATGAAAACACATGTTCAGAAGACAACAAAGTCAAAATTTCTACATCCAAAGCCTTCAATAAAAATATGAATTGGTCTCAGGCCACGGAAAAGCACAAAAAGAATTTTGAAAATCAAGTAAGAGAGGTAGAGGAAAAATTGGGAAGAGAAATGAGAGTGATACAAAAAATCATGAAAAAAGAGTCAACAGCTTGGTGAAGGAGACACAAAAAAATATAAAGAAAATAACACCTTAAAAAAATACTAGGTCAAATGGAAAAAGATGTGCAGAAAGTCAATGAGGAGAAGAATGCCCTAAAAATCAGAATTGGCCAAATGGAAAAGAAGGTCCAAAAGCTCAGTGAAGAAAATAATTGCTTAAAAATTAGAATGGAACAAATGAAAGCTAATGACTTTATGAGAAAACAAGAAGCAATAAAACAAAGCCAAAATAATGGGGGGGGGGAAGAAGACAGTATGAAATATCTCATTGGAAAAACAACTAATCTGGAAAATAGATCCAGGAGAGAGAATTTAAAAATTATTGGAATACCTGAAAGCCATGATAAAAAAAAAAAGAACCTAGACAAGATCTTTCAAGAAATTATCAGGGAAAACTGCCCTGATATTCTAGAACTAGAGGGTAAAATAGAAATTGAAAGAATCCACCAATCACCTCCTGAATGAGATCCCAAAATGAAAACTCTCAGGAATATTATAGCCAAATTCCAGAGTTCCCAGGTCAAGGAGAAAATATTGCAAGCAGCCAGAAAGAAACAGTTCAAGTATTGTGGAGCCATAGTCAGGATAGCATAAGATTTAGCAGCTTCTACATTAAAGGACCAGAGGGCTTGGAATATGATATTCTGGAGGGCAAAGGAGCTAGGATTACAACCAAGAATCACCTACCCAACAAAACTGAGTATAATTCTTCAGTGGAAAAAATGGGCATTCAATGAGACAGAGGATTTTCAAGCATTCTTGATGAAAAGACCAGAGCTGAATAGAAAATTTGATGTTCAACTACAAGACTGAAGAGAAGCATAAAAAGGTGAACAGAAAAGGGCAAATCATAAGGGACTTAATAAGGTTAAATTGTTTATATTCCTACATGGGAAGATATTTGTAATTCATAAGACCTTTCTCATTATGAAGGTAGTTTGAAGGAGTATATAGAGACAGAGGGTGCAGGTGTGAGTTGAATATGAAGGGATGATATCTAAAAAATAAAATTAAGGTATGAGGGAGGAATGTCCTGGGAGAAATAGAAAGGGAGAGGTAGAATGGGGTAAATTATCTCACATAAAAGAGGAAAGAAAAAACTTTTACAATGGAGAGGAAGAGAGGGGAGATGAGGGAGAGTGAGCAAACTTTACTCTCATCAGAATTGGCTCAAAGAGGGAATAAGATACATACTCAATGGGGTACAGAAATCTGTCTTGCTGTACAGGAAATTAGAAGAGGAAGGGGATAAAATAAAGGGGATGGTCATAGGAGGGAAGGCACATTGGGTGAAGGGGTAGTCAAGAGCAAAAACACTTTTGAGGAGGGACAGGGTGAAAGGAGAGAAAGAATAGAATAAATGGGGGAATAGAATGAAGTGAAATACAGTTAGCAATAGTAACTGTGAAAAAAATTGTGAAGCAAGTTTCTCTGACAAAGGCCTCATTTCTCAAACATCTAGAGAACTGAGTCAAATTCATAACTTTTCAGATGAAGTAATTAAAGTTATCCATAGCCATATGAAAAAATATTCTAACTCACTATTGATTGGAGAAATGCAAATTAAAACAATTCTGAGGTACTACCTCATACCTATTAGATTGGCTAATAGGAAAGAAAAGGTAAATGACAAATGTTGAAGGGGATGTGGGAAAAATGAGACATGTTGGTGGAGTTGTGAACTGATTCAACCATTCTATAGAGCAATTTGGAACTATGCCCAAAGAACTATAAAACCATGCATACCCTTTGACCTAGCAATACCACTACTAGGTGCATATCCCAAAAGAGAGGGAAAAAGAAACCAAAAAGGGAAAGGACTTATATGTAGAAAAATATTTATAGCAGTTCTTTTCTGGAGACAAAGAATTAGAAATTGAGGGGATGTCCATCAATTGAAGAATGGCTGAAAAAATTGTGGTATGTAATTATAATGGAATACCATTGTACTATAAGCAATGATGATCAGGATGCTCTCAGAAAACCTGGAAAGACTTGCATGGGTTGATGAAAAGTGAAATGCACTGGGTATAAAGTAACAGCAATATTGTAAGATGATCAGCTGTGAATGATCTAGCTATTTTCACAATACAACAATCCAAGACAATTCTGAAGGACTTAGGATAAAAAATGCTATCCATCTCCAGAGAAAGAACCGATAGTGCCTGAATACAGATTAAAGCATACTTTTTAATAAATAAGCAAACAAATAAACAAATACATAATTACCTTGAAATAGAAGCATCAACACCAAAAAAATCGAAAATAGCAGGACCCAAAAGACAACAAGACATACAAATAATTTCGGTAGCATAGTAAGTGACTCAGGTTCTTCACCTAAAACAGAATTACATATAAATATCAGAACCAGGGCCGTCACAAGAACCCTTACTACATCTTTCCTCCCCATCTCCAACTCCCATGTCCCCACTGAGTGCAAAGCCATAGATGTGGCCAAATTCTCAGCACCCATAGTTGTGGCTGCTCCCTGTCCCAACCTGGGCACCCTATACCAGACATATCTCTCCCTTCCACCAATACCATTATCATGTCCATAGCCCCTTTCTTTATCCCCAGCTCAGGCCACATCACTTGTTGTTAGCCCCACTCCCCATTTATGAAATAAAACCTTAAGCTGTATTGATGAGGATACCATGGAGTACAAGTAGAATAGGGGGCCAATTCTGTGTACTTTTTAATAGGTTTATACTGAGAGGATATTACAGATACAAGGGAATTCAGAGGTCCATATTGTTCAACATACATTTGAATCAGAATCTCCTCTAAGACTTCCTACAAGTGGTCAGCCAATCTTTTCTTAAAGACTCACAGGAAGGGGTAGCTCACTACATCTCACAGGGCCCCTTTCACTTTGGTATTGCTCTAATGGTTAGGAAGTTTTTCCATACATCAAGCCTAAATTTGTCCTTTTGCAACTGGTGTTCCAGAAGAAGAAAGAGTTACTGTGGGCCTCTAGGTGGGATAGGGAATTGGGGCTGTTTTTCACTCAGAGCTGGCTTGAAACTGAGAAAACCTGGCCATGCTACTGCTTCTGTCTCTGTAGTATGCTTTCCTTTTCTCTTTCAGGTGAAAGAGTCTTGGAGATGGGTACAATCTTGTGAACTTCAAAAGACACCATCAGGATGTCTGGGGGCTACAGACCTTGCAAAGATTTACCAGAAGTTATACAAAAAAAAAAAATCCCAAAGAACCTAAATGGCCCAGGCCAGTTGTAGGACAGATGCAGACTCATCCATCCATAGGCTGTGCCATATTTGGAAGTCAATCTGGTGGGAACAATGCTACGTAGAAATTGTTTTAAGTTTGATTCTACTCCTCCTAGGGACTGAGGTGGGATAGGGAAGATATTACTCCAGGTGTTGGGAGGAAATATTTGTAATTATGTTCATGAAATATTTTAGTGAACATCATTTTCAAAAAAGCTAATTGATATTAATTGCTTAAATGGAACTGGGGCACTAATCGCTAGTAATTAACAGTAGTGAGAGCATAATGGGATGAGGAGTCAAGCTGAAAACCTTAGGAAAAGATGCTTTCATTGTTCCCAATGGTACCCTAAAATCCTGAAAAGAGATGAAATCAGTCTCACTCTAGAGGACTAAGATGAGAGAATAGCTACATACAAAATAGTCATACTTATCATGAGATCATAGATTTAGACCTAGAAGAGACCTTATGCTATCAAAGCTATCAAGTCCAAACTTCCAATTCAACAGATGAGGAAACTGAGGCACAGGAGGCAAAAATAATTTGCCCAGGAATATGCAGCCAGTAAGTGCTTGAGGTAGGACTTGAAACCATGTTTTTCTGATACTGGATACAGTTCCCTAGCCACTGTACGCTGAAGGTTGGTCTTTTATTAAGAATAAACAAGAACAAGAAGGGACCTTAGAGACCAATTGGTTCAACTCTCTCCCTTTACAGATGAGGGACTGAGGCCTGTGGAAGTGAAATGACCAGTCTAAGACCACTCATGTAGTAAATAAGAGAGCCAGGACTTGAATCCAAGTCCTTTGACACCAAATCCAGTACCACATTGCCTCCTAAAATTAAAGATGTCCTCATGGGATTTGGATTCAAGCCAAGGGTGACTCAGTCACAACACAAAATGCAGTGTCGAAATAGGCTTGATTTTCCTCATTGTGCTTCTTCTCCTTGCCTGGAACTCACCTTACCTTAGGGACGTCCCAGGCCCACAGGTCCGTGGGACCAGAATTTATAGATTCTGTCTACATTTCTCCAGGCCCAAAGTGTTCCTTGGCCAGATTAGAGAAGTACTATTCTTCATTATCCCCGTATCCACCCATCTGGTAGTTTTGTTCCAGTCTGTCTATTTGTGCTTGACTGCTATGGCCTTGAGAAGTAGAGGCCTAGATATAGAATATGTGTGTGGAGGAAGGAGAGAAAGGAGAAGAACTAAAATGGTGTTCCCCTTTAAACAATCCCCCATTCTCAATTCCTTCCCTTTGTAGCTTTCTTTTTTTTCTCCCATTTTCCTTCTCCTCTCCCTTCTTTTCAGCAAACCCTCCTAAAGAGACCATCTGGAATTTCTCTGTTTGTGTGCTCCCCAAATCTTAGCAATGCCTATCATGCTCCTTCTGTTCCATGCCCCAAGGCTGTAGAGCCTGAGGTCTTTGGAATGGAATGAATATGGAGATTCCCAAAGAAAATCTAGCAGATAATCCAAGGGAATCTAGAAGAGGATGACCAGGACTGTGAACAGCTTTGAGCTTGTGCCATAAAACAAAACTGGTAGAGTTTAGCATTCTCATTCTTCCAGTTTGGCGGTTGTCATAGCCTGGAGAAAAGAAGACTTAGCCAGAGCATGATCATTGTTTGCAGGTTTGAAGAACCATTCTTTAGAAAATGAATTATACTTCTTCTGATTGTCCCTCTGGGACAGAACTAGTAGCAGTGGGTGAAAGCTGCAGAGAGGATGATTTAAATATGATGTAAGCAAAAACTTCTTAATGATGAAATTTATCCAGAAGTAGAAAGGGCTGCCTCCCCCAGGGAAGTAGCGTGACTTCTCATTAGAAATCTTTAAGTAAAGGCTGGAAGCTCTATTAAATTCAACAAGCATTCACTGATTATCTTCCATGTGCAAGGCACCAAGTGAGGGGCCAAGAATACAGGCCAAATGAAAATAGGTACCTCCTAGGCATGTAGAGAGACATTTCTCATTCAGAGAAGTATTAGAGTAGATAGCCTGTGAAGTCCCTTTCAACTGGAACATTCTGTGATTCCAGGAATCACAGAGTTAGGAAGCAAGCCCTTCCCCATCCCCATATATGCCCACAAACATGCCAAATCCAGGGCCCAGCTCTTTACCTGAGACTTTCAGCTCCATGTCAGCTTGCTCTTGGTGAAAACCATCTGCAATGAGACATATATACTTTCCTGCATCCAAGAATCTCACATCCAGTATCTTCAGGGGTGACATTCCCACTTGTGATAGCATCTCTCACCAGCTCCGTCCTCCCTTGGTAATCAGGGTCCTGGTCTCCAAACTGATCCTTTTCATCTCGATAGAGATGTACCATCCGAGTGGATTGCAACCAGAGCACCTCCATGTGCTGAGCACTCTGAGGTGGGGACAGGTAACATGGTAACTCTGCCTCTCCCCCAAGTGAGGCCTTGATGGGTCCTGCAGGTCCAATCACTGAGAACTGCCCTGTTCAATCAGGCGAAAAAAGGACATAAGCAATCAAAAATGAGAACACCCGAGGGTAGACGGGGTCAGATTTCAGTATGAAAAAAAGGAACAAAAGAAAGGAACTTTGAAGTAAGATGGGGAGGGAGGAAACACAGTGGAAGATTTCAGAGAGAGAGAGAAGTAAAGAGGTAGGGGATAGATTATGAGGATAAGGAAAAAGCCCTAGCAGGGAGAGAATAAGGAAGTTAAGAAAATCCCAAGAAAAGACTAGAATATCAGGTGTATGACTTGGGAGAACTTGAGGAGTAGGGCAGGACAGAATCTCTATAGGCTCAACCATCAGCCTTCAGAGCTCTTGTTCCAGGCCAGAAGAAGCCAAATAAACAGAAGCAAACACTTACCTAAGGCCATTTTGGGCATCATGAGGAGGAGGAAGAAGGCAATGGGAGAATTGAAGAGACAGGATCCTAAAGGACAGAGAATCTCCATCACACCTGGGAGGGAATACAAGGAAGGAGGAAGAGGGATTAGTGACTGTGGTAGGGAAATAAGCATGGGAGGACAAATAATGGGGAAGTGGGATACTGTCTGTGAGAGGGACACAAGGGCCCAGTGACTTTCTGTGACATAGGAACACATGTAGATGACAAGGATATAGGAGAACTATGACTGTGATAAGAATATGGGCATTGGCTGTAACAAGGACACAGAGCAGCAGGAGCTATGACAAGGACATGAAGGAGGTTCAATATAACAAAGATACCATACCGTTATTGTGACATGGAGAGTGGTGGTGGTATCTATGAAAGAGATGGAAGTGATCATGTGAGTGGGGAGTGGTGATCACTCACCTTGAAATGACACCAGATCTCCTTATGGAGGGAGGAGCCTGAGGACTCCTTAAGGATACCCCTTTACTCCAACTTACATTCATTCTTCTGTCCCGTGCATAAAGAGGTCCATTCATGCCAAGGAACATTTTGGGTAGATAGAAACCCAAAATAGTGGAGGTATTTAGTGAAAAAAAATTGAGAGGGGAATTGTTCAGTATGAGGCTCCCCTTGTTAACTAGGTATGGGAGGAGGCTCCTGAGTCCCAGGTCCCCCTTTAGGAGGAAGACAGGATGCTATAGTGCTACTTCTTCCTCCTGACTGCTCCACACAGGACCAAGGAGGAAAATGTGACATTGGGAGTAAAGGAAAGAGTCTTCTTATGAACTCACCCCAAACTCAGGCCACCTACTTACTCATTCCAGAACTGGCCTGAGCTCTATCCTCTACTCCTGGGATTCTAACAGTATCCCCCACTCCCTCTCTTTGCTGTGCACTTGGGGAAAAGTGACTCATGACTCGTTGAGAGATCTATGAGCCCTGTAATCCTTGACTATGTATCCTGTGGCTTGATTTCTGATTGGAGGAAGAAATAAGAAATAGGCAAAGGAAAAGGAGAGCAAGGTGAGAAAAAAGAAGGCACGGATTTGAATGATGAATAAGAGACCACTGAAGTCGCAGGTATGAGGGGAGGGGAGCAGATATACCAGTACATTGTTCAATTGCCCTAATACACTGCCAAGAGTAGACATACTGAGTGAAATCATTCTTTCTCTGGTTAACCTTAGATTTTGTTGTGCTCCTGGGCAGCAGAACCCCCAATTATTGCGTATTTTATCACCTAAATTAATCGCATGGCTTTCTCAATTACTCTTTTATAACTTGATTTGAAAAAATGTTTCCTTCTATCTGTCAATGTCTTGTGTAAATAGTATAAGAAAAGAAAACATTGATTTTGTATTCTATATTTGATTTCACTCAGTTCTGAAACTGCCTAACTCACAGTTCTGTCTCTGTACTTTGTTCAGAAATTCAACTGGTCTGTAATGAGTCAAGTTTACAAATCCAGTTCTCCTGCTAATTGCTGTTCTTTTCTCACCTCAAGGAAATCTGCTATCTTTGAGCAATATGGAAGGACACCAAGTAGTCTGGTCCAGTGTCTATATACCACCAAGCTATCCTTCAAGGATATTGGTACATTATCTCTGACCTTGTAGGTGTACTCAAACAACGAACATTTCTTAGTCACAGAAGGGAAGGAAGGGGTTGTTGCCAACTCCTCACTCCTACTTTTCAACCAATTATATTGTTCCCCATGCCTCAGGCATGTAACCAATCATGCTGTCTTCAACTCCATCATGTTATCAACTCTATAGCAAATTATTTTATTTCCTCATCTACCCTGTTCTGTTCTTTGTTCTATGCTTATAAAAAGGAGATGTGTCTTTATCTAGGGGTCTTTGGGCTAACTGAGGCAGTCATTAGACACACTGTATTGGCAGGTTTGCACCCTATTCATAAACTATGTGCCTCAGTTTGCCTTCATTGAATTTTACTCATAATAAGTGCATGGTAGGAGGCAAAGCTAAGCTGGCTGAGATTAACCTCTTACTCTGCAGATCTAGATAGGAACTATTTCCCCACCTCACCCCCAGCAACCAGAGAAAGTATTTTTTATACTGAACCCCAAAAGAATCATGTCCTTATAATTGAGATATCTGACTGTAATAGCTAGATATAACTCCAAGCCCAATACTTCTCTTAAAGATAGTCATGAATAAGCACACATCGACTGCACTCCTTTTACTATCCACAAAGGTAGAGCTCCAGTCTCCTAGGAGTTGTGAGGTGGGACATCTCTATATCTATTGATATATCCCTGGCCTAAACCAAAGGCAGTAGCCAAATGACCTTTATTGCATGTTCTACTTTGTTATTCATAAAAGCTCATCCACAGTAATAGTTTCACACTGTGGTTGTTTATTTTATTAAAATTTTTTTAAAATATGTTTTAGAGCATTTACAATTTAGTGGTGATTCTGAAGTTCCACTACTAATGAATATTTATACAAAAATTTTTAAATAAAATACTAGCAAGATTATAGCATTATGTCATCAAGATCATACACTATGACCGAGTGGGATATACACTAAGAATGCAAGGCTGGGTCAAAATTAAGAAAATATAAACATAATTGACCATATCAATAAGAAAAGCAACAAAAATCATACAATTGTATCAATGGGTGCAGAACAAGCTTTTGATAAAACACAGCACCCGTTCCTATTAGAGACACTAGAAGGGCACAGGAATAAATAGAGCTTTTCTTAAAATGGTAAGCACTATCTATCTAAAAATAAGAATAAACATTATCTATAATGGGGATAAACTAGAAGCCTTTCCATAAGATCAGGGATTAAGCAAGGACGTCCATTCTCCCAATTACTATTCAATATTGTATTAGAAACAATAGCTACAGCGGTAAGATTAGAAAAAGAAATCAAAAGTATAAGAACAGACAATGAGGAAACAAAAGTATCACTTTTTGCAGATGATATGATGGTTTACTTAGAGAACCCTAGAAAGTCAACTAAAAATCCATGTGAAACAATGAACAACTTTAGCAAAGTTGCAAGATACAAAATAAATGCATACAAATCATCAGAGTTTCTATATATTACTAACAAAACCCAGCAGGAAGACATAGCTTGGTTAATTTATTACATTTCCATAAAATAGAAGAAATATGAAAATAATATTAAGAATAAACAGTTTATCTCTGAAATATTCTTTGGAAACCAATTCCAAGATTCAGGGTACTAAATTATATCTTTGCCCCAAAACATCAAAATTAGAAGAAAAAATAACTGAAAAAAATTGAGAGAAAATTGCATTTAATTAATGGAGTCAACAACAACAAAAATCCATTGTTGCAAATAGGAAGTTTTTTTTTTAAAAAGTAAAAGCTTCCAGGTACCACTTTCAAACCTAAGATGAAACATTTTCCTGCAAGGCAAGTGAATACCAATAAATCCTAAAATTGACCACTGTTGCATAGTGTTCAACAAACACAAAGATCATAGTTTCTAGGAAGAAGACTCATTCGACAAAATCTTCAGGGGAAATTGGATAGCAGTTCAGCAAAAATTATGGTTAGACCAAAAACTCATACACAAGGTAAATAAACTCCCAATGGATTCATGATCTAGATATAAAGGTAGCATCATTTTTTTAAAAAATAGAGGACCAAAGAAGAAATTACCTTTTGGATTTCAGGATTGGGGAATGGTTCATCACTAAGTGATAGAGAGGATTTCTTGATATGAAATTGAGAATTTTGGTTATGTAAAATTAAAACATTTTTATCTAAATCTAATATAAAGTTGGAAGGGAAACAGATGAATGGGAAAAAAGCAACAATAAGTTATTCTGATAATGATCTCATATTAAAGATATATTAGAGAACTGACTCAAATTTATTAGACTAAAGAGCCATTCTCCAATAGAAAAATGGTCAAAAGATAGGAAGAAGCAATTGTCACCCCTCTCAAGATTTCACTCCTGACTCTCCAAACATTCTCTACCATGCCACAGCAGCCTTTTTCACTTGGGAAGTTCATTCTACCTCTGTGGCCTCTTCATTTTAGAAGTTCACTCTACCCCCAACCTACTCACACTGGAGGTTCCCTCTACCCCTCTGGCCCCTTCCTATGATGTAGTGGTTTCTCCTAGGAACTCCATATTAAGAAAAGTATGGTCAGCCATGTATGTCTTAATTCTTCTCCTGGATGTACCTTCAAAAGAGTTTTAGAACTCTAATCAAATGCAATGATAAATCACAATTCCAAAATAATGAAAATTAAGTGATTATTAGGTGGACTAAGAATTGACTAAATGGCTAGACACAAAGAATAGTTATTAGTGGCTTCAGGTCAACTTTCAAGGTCTCAAGTGGGCTGGCTCAGGGATCTGTGTTGCAAAACCTCAACATTTTGAGCTGATGACTTGAATAAATGCCTAGAAGGCAACAAAGTAGATGCCCACCAATCAGTACACAAATATAATGAAATGCTATGTTGCTGTGAGAAATGAGAAATAGTTGAATACAGTGAATCTCAGAGGAAGAAAGAGGCCATAGACAAGCACCAAAGGAAGGAGTGGGTGTCCTGAGAAACTGACTTGTCAGTGAAGTTTAAGATCCAATGTTTCCTTCACACACACAAAAAGATTAAATTCAATTCTACATTCACTTTACTGTTGGAAAAGATACCAAATTTAGACTTGTCTGCATCTCTGGCTTTTTCCAGGTCTAGTGAAGGGTTATGATGTGTACAATAATATGGAACAAAACATAAGAGGGACAGGAAGGACATCTGAGAGGTAGGAAATAGCAAAAGCAAAAGCACCCCCTGGGAGAACAGAAGGCATACATGGTTCAGAGATAGAGAGTTGGCCAGTTTGGTTAGAGGGTAGAATATGGAGAGGAATAAGAAGATGTCAGGCTTTAAAGGGACTTGATTATGGAGGATAATTTAATGCCAGGCAAAGGACTTGAAATGTGGATTCCTAGGCTATAAGGATACTCTAGGGCATAAAAGGTCTCTAGTTTGGTGGGTCTGGGGAATATTCCACAGATAGCTGAGGGCAGTATCGTGGAGATACG